TCCTCAACTGTTCCCTCACGCACGTCCTCCTCGGGCTGGCAGCCTCGGCTACGCACCTGGACTCCACCGTCGCACTCCTGGCTGCAGGCAGACCAGCGACCCCAACCGGCCCAGCCTTCTGTAAAGAAACCACAGCAAAAAAGGTTTAAGTCATGCCATGCGGTGGCGACTTTGAATCTGAACTTTGTTCCTGTCTGAGGGAACTCACAGGAAGTAGTCTGAGCTGAGAAGTTAGAGGTTGAGGTCAGTTAACTTGTTCTTTTCAACCTAGGCCTTGTGGGTGGTAAACCCCTGACTGGCTGAGCTACTGCTGAGGCCTTGAATGAAAACTTTAGTGACGTACTATGCAGTGACTATACAGTACGCATGACTCAAAAGAAAGTAGAAATATTCATTTTCTATGCAGAGAACTAAAAAGACTCCTTTGTTAGAGGTGAGCACTCAGGCTGATAGGTGTTCCATTTGAAATGGTAATTGTTCGCTTTTAACCACTCACCGTGTGAACCACGGCAGAGTGGTATGGAAGGATGACAGGCGCGGTTGCTATGACGACTATGAGTGCTGTGTTTCGATTTCCGCTGCCAGTTGACTGAGCTCTTTGTGCTCCACTTTGCCCGCTCCAACACCATCACTAACACACAAACACGTCCTTCAATCTCTCCCCAAAACCCAGACTCCACGCCGAGCCATAAATCCCAAAGGTCTGCCTAGGGGAAAAATACAGAGGCGGGTGTGTGTGCGTGCGTGTTATGTGTGTGTGTGTGCTTCAGGTGGCGCTCCCACTTAGTCTTTGAGGTGCTGCAGCAAATTTCTCTAACTCCGCTGATTTACTTTTCATTGCTCTGCCGCTGCAGAGTGCACACCCTGTGCCTGTGTCTCTGTCCAACAAACGTGGGTCATTAACTTCAACAGCTCTTAAGCTGCTGTAATCACACAGTGATCACAGAGCCGGCAGCACTGTGTGATGTAGGAAAACATGATAGCCTCAAACAGCTGTCTGCTCGGGCGCAAGACAATAAAAACAACAACCAAACAACCTTTGTTTTTGTTCATGAATCAGAGACCTTTCCTAAAACTATAAAAGTAATGAAAATAATTCTTAAACTTACTGATAATCTCAGCGTCCCGTCCGTTGTCTTTGGGGATAGTAACACAGTTCTCCACGTAGACACCACCTCTGTAGCAGCTTCCTGGTTTCCTCTTTGGAGCCTCCCAGCACTGGCAGGGTGTGTTCATGATGCCGCAGGGATAATCATGGGTGCTACTTGACAGGCATTTCTCCAACCACTGGCACAGCATTTGGCAGGCAGGCATGCTGGGATTCCTTTTTCCCACAACCAGAAATTCGGCCTTGAAATCATTAACGTCGCTCTCTGCCGCGACCTCCAGCCCAATCCTTGGTGCCACCTTGCGGATCTGCAGGAACTGCTTGGTGGACTCCAGATAGGTGACAGTAGTGGAAGCATCACACAGCCTGACCACCTCGTCGAAGCTCTCCATGCCCAGGTAGGTGCGGGAGGTCTCGATGAAGGAGTCGAACTGGAAGGTCCTGATCTGGCGAGGCACGCAGGAGTCGGTGGGTTTGGTGATCTTCATGTAAACAGTGTAGCGGCGTGGGTCAGGATTCTGCAGGGTCCAGGAGCAGGGTGAGGAAGGGAAGGTGGTCGTGGAGGAGAACACGCCGAAGAAACGACTCTGCTCCAGGGTGGCGCAGGTGGCGGAGGCTGGTCCAGAGGGAGTGCATGAGGTCAAACCAAAAAGGACTAAGAGGAAGGCCACACAAGGGCCGGCAAGTGGTGACCACGCCATTGGGTCGGCTTCGTTAGAGATTCTGATGTTTCTCTGATGACTTTTTTTTAACTGGATTTTTTTTTCTAACTTCTTTCTTGCAAGTTACTGCACTTCTTTCAGATCTTCTGAATGATCTTGCACCCCTCTGAAGAGCTGATGGATTATAGCTTTTACAGCTTCAGACAGTCTGTCATGTCTGTTTCAGGAGGGGAGCTGCAGAGAGAGAGGGGAAGAACAGATTAGTAATCATGACCAGAAACTAGTGTGCAGTGTTTTTTTCAACAAGTCCATTAAATGCCTCTTAATTATGCCCAGGCTGAAATTGTATTTAATCATCTGGGATTTGCCTGTGATCAATATCATAGTGTTGGGCTGTGATTCACTGATGAAAATGCTCATTTCTCCAGGACATAATTGCTCTGGCAGTGCAATTACAGTTCTTCACAGCAGACTGGTATCTCAGAGCATTTGTTCTTTCCTCCCACACAGTGAACTGATCTGCGAATCATGTGCGTCAGTCTGACGCTCATAGACGCATTGCTACGGGCAACCATGGACGCTTAATAGTTTTGCTATTTGTACGACCCACTCCTGATGCGTGAAGAGAAGTACTTAGTCCGTACCTGAGCTAACGGTGTCATTACATATCCTGCTGTGGCATTTCAGCAAATGCATTGTGGAGCCAACCACTCTGACATTAATGCATGCATGTTGCATGTGCATGCACAAAGTATTTTTTTTTGTTTTTGTTGCTGCTTTGCAACAGCGCCTCATGCATTCAAATCAAGCATGAACACGCTCCTCTTTCTTATATTTTTTGACATTCAGAAGTGTGCAGATATAATGTCTAAAGGTGTCCCTCTGCTTTGCAGACACTGATCTGTGCCGCTGAATGACTAGTCATTTATAGAAGCAGAGAGCAGAGTCACTGCAGGGGTCTCTGTGCTCCACGGGAGCTGCACAAGTAAAAGAGATACTCCTGAGGAGAAAACACTGTTGCTCAGCAACTACATCTTTCAAGGCGAGAGCTTCCGTCTTATTTTAGGTTTTCTCATTTTGAAAATCAGACAAAAAATGACAAGATAATGTCTGCATTAAAGGAGATTATGGCCATATCTGAAACTCACTTTTTAAAGTTTTGGCTTGAAACCATGTGTGATAAAAAGAGCAGTGAAAGCAGAAGCACCTGTCCTTTTCAGGCAGAGACCTCAGTAATTACCACTCTTACATTTCTTTTCACATCTCTCCCTCCCTCTCTGTCTTGCTCGATCTCAGTTCTGTTCGCAACACAGCAAAGACCTCTGCTTTGTGTAGGTGGGCTCCTCTCCCCCGCCTCCCCTCAACCGGAAGCACCAATAATGGACATTTGGTGGAGCGCATGGTGTAAACGAGAGACAGTGGTCCAGCCTGTGTGTGTGTGTGTCCCTGACTTTATTATTCTTGTTATGTTTTGTCCTCTTTTGTCTCCCTTGTGATTTTGGTGTCGTCAACAACAGTTCTGCAAAAACAAGCAGCCCTGCGCAGTGTGCAGGTTGTTGTTATGGAGATAGTTTTTTGTGCAGATCAGTGTGAAAAACAGCAAATTGCAGGGACTCAACAATCAGCAGTTTCCTTCTTGCTTACGTGCACAGAAGTCTTTGCCATGCATGACTCAGATGAAGTTTATAAAACATATGAGCAAGATGATAAATGAATATATGCTCCTCATAAATCAGATTTGTCAAAATACACTTTCTTACTTGGTCCAAAGTTTAAGATGTAACGCCTTCTTTGACTGAATGATATGGATGTTATGACCTAACCTTTCTCTTTATCTATTTTCATCTTTTGCTGCAGTAATGTAACTGATTAAGACGCCTTCCCTCATCCGTAAACTGCTCACTCACTCCTTGTTTTCCTGTGCCTGCAGGATCTAAATGCTCACATGTGCAAGAACAGAGACCAGCTGGCTCAGCTTGGCTGCAAAGTCCATGTAAGTACAAAAACAACAAACAGTAAAAACCAAACAAATCCCTGCAGATGGTCGACGCAAAGTCTGAAGCTTCATTGTTACACAGTGTTTCACTGATTCAAGCACAAACGGTGGCACAGAATCTCCAGGTGCTGAGACAGACTTGGGAATTCATCAGTAACTGGACTTGAGGTTTGTAGCTGAAATCACTTCACCTCAGTTTTTCAGGAGTTCACATCAAGTCCAGTTGCTTCAGACTCACATGATTCAAAAAACGGAGGACAAACTTAACAGATATCATCTCTGACATAGACAAAGGTTTGTCAGACAAGCTCCATTGGTGAATGAGTGTCTTTAACACTTGTTTCAATACTAAATAGTGTTCAATATTTTTAACAGCAGCTGTCACCAGCCTTAGAAGCACGTCTTAAAGTCCTGTGCGTACAACCTGTTGCCACAGTATAACTTTCTCATCACCTCAGCTCACTTCATGAACAAGAGGCTAAAATGATTAAGCATTTATAAAAGCAACGAATTTTAACGTTGAAACATGAACAAAAAAAAAAAAAAAAAAAAAAAAAACCACAAAACAAAGTTGATAATTACTGACTCGAAGTTACAGAGACTTCCTGTCACCATCACTTCAAAACTTTGTACATATGCACGCTTATTCTCCCTAGACCTTCTTTGCAGGACATACAAACTCAAAAAAGGCATCAAATACCAGTACCTGTTGCACGTCCTTACCTCGATTTGGGTTTTCCTTGAGATCCCGTCAGCGGCTCTCTGTCCGGTGGCCCAGGGGTCTCGTGGATCTATCTGGGTGATCGGTTACAGCAGCTGCTGTGTGAACCTCAAAAAGTCTGACTCGGCTTCGCAACTTGTGCGCTCTGGCCAAAAACTTTCGCAGCGTTCGAAGCGGCGGAAAGAATGCGCCAGGTCCAAGACAGACCGACCGCGCAGGGTCGACCCAAAGTTTCAGTGCAGTCCACTCTCACAAGCAAAGAAATAGATAATGTGACTCTAACCAAACTCCAAAGAGTTTACTACCAACTTTGTTTAAGCAGCTATATCCAGACGAAGGCTGGCGTATAGCGGAGTGACAAATTGGTTTCTACCGGAGCTCCAGCGAGGACAGTCCTCCGAGGATCGCTTTCTAAGCTCCAGAATAAAATGTTGGTACTTCTACTCCCGGCTTCGGAGTCTTCTTGCTTGTGGTCTTTGCACTGCAAGTGGGTCCAGTCTCAGTGTAGCTCTCGGCCTGCTTCTGGAGCTATTTATCCAACCCCGCCCCCTCCCTCCTTCTCTGCCTCATGATGGAGTCAGTGCGTGGATGGCGTACTAGAGTGAATGAGGCAGCACCATGGACAGCGCCGAGACGAAGGGAGGGGTGGATACGGGGGAAGCGCGAATGTGTGCGGTCGTGCATGCGGGCGCGTTCGCGTGAAAGCGAGTTAGACAGAGCCAAGTGTGTGTGTGTGTGTGAAGGAGACAGTGTGTGTCAGTGTTCGGAGGAGGGAGGGGTTGAGGGAGAGAGATGACCAAACTTTGCACAGCCACAGACTACCGGTGAGAAGAGTTTCTGTTTCTGTGTGAATATGACACACACACACACACACACACCTTTCACAACTTCAACATGAACTATAACCCTAAAATACGTGACATCCCTACCCAAGATTAAGATTATTAATCTGTAATTAATCCTTATCACATTAATTTATTAGATGACACACACTAGAACACACACACGTACAATATACAAGATATACATTTTATATAAGTAATGATGCATTGTTTGAATAATGTTATTTAATAAATGAGTGACTTTGAATATAATCAGGTTCACTGATCATTGTGGTGGTCCACGTGATTTTAACATAAGTCCATGAAGGGTTAATAATTTGTGTACTTGCAGATCAGGTAGAAAAAAAACAACCTTGTGCTGTGTGTTGCAGACACAAACGTGCAGAAAGAATACTGTAATGTATGAAGCGCTCCTTCCGGTGCCTGTCATAGTGACGGTACCTCCACAACCAATTGAGGTGAGGCGCAGAGAGTGCGCACTCTCCCTCCCTTTTCCCTCCCTCCTTTCCTCCTTGTGACTATCTGTCTCTTTCTCTACAAAACACACTGACTTAAACCAACACACACACACACACACACACTCACAGGAATAGGCGTCAGCTCCCTCCATAATCCCCATCCCTCCCTCCTCTACATCCTCCTCTACCTCCTCACAGTTTCTCCTCTGGGAGGTGGGTGGGTGGATCTGGGTAGTTCTCGAAGTGTGGAAGGGATAACCTAACGTGGGTGTCCGCCTGTTGGTGTGTTGTGTTTCTGGCTCGGTGTCTCTCCCTGATACGGAAGAGACAGAAAGAGAGAAAAATAACCATAATGAGTAAATGGGCCTGCTGTTCCAAGCACATGAGTCAGGACGAGAGGACAAGAGAAGATGAGATGATTCCATCCATCTCGTCCTCGTCCTCTATGGGATTCCTCACGCAAACACGCAGCAGTGGGAGTGAGGAGTCATGCGGTGCTTGTGTTAGTGTTGGCATGTTCAGGTCCCACATCCTGGTGCCTTTGAACACACGACATGCTGCACAAGCTCAGGAGGAGTCGGCAGGACAATGAGGATTGGTGGTGTTTCAGGATGGAGGATTCTGACTTGACCTGGCAGTGCGCAGGGTTAAGGTGACCCCTCAGGACGGAAACATGAATCTATTTTCAGCACATACCCATTACACACTGAACACAATTTTGAACCATTACAGAGATTGTCCTGCACCGACTAGACATCCTGTAAATATCCTTCAATCTGTGTCTTTTATCAAGAAACAACTATTTACAACCATTTGAGGCGATCACTCAAAGACTTGGACTGGTACTGTTCACTGTAAACCAACCAAAGTTCTTTTTGCAAGAGGCCATGAGAATAGTATAATTATTAAAATTTAAATGTTCCCAATTCTAAAATTTGTGTGTGTTACTAATATGATAAGAATATAAATTAAATAAATCACCAATGACAGATTATTTATAGAGAAACACTTTCTGGTTAACAATATGAATTTTTGTGACAAAGTCCACCGCAGTTTTGAATCATCAGTACCATTGCTACAGTCAGTGAACATATAACAGAGTTATTAGCAAATGATCTTTACTGTAAACGGCTACACTTCCACTTCCTTTTAAATACATTACATGGACTGTTTGGCCTTGGTGACGATTCTGTACTGTTTGTACAAAGACACCAAGGCGCTTTTATTCCGGGTTTTCCTGGTGAAAGATATGATGTGGCCAATGTTTTTATTGTTTATATTTTAAAGACATATCGACTCAGTATGTATCATGTATCCACAATGTACAGTACATGTATCATACAGGAGCGTTGGTGGTGTCACAGCTTGTCACGCAACATGACTCAGTACCACACACAGAGGACAGTCCCACACAATCACCAGTGTCATACTACAGTATATATTTATAGACACCTTTATATGAACTTAAATAATCACAGTATACACTGTTACACATGTTAATTGATATTAAATCAAAATAGCAGGATTTTGACCATTCAAGATCCTGAGTTATCCCTGAGTCTTCCTTAAAGAAGGTCGGACTCTCTGTCGAAGCCTATTTTGATTCATACTTCTGTCCATATTGGACACACATCCGGCACATATTATATTTCATTTGTCACATCTGTGGTGCAAATTACAGACTCATCGATGACTCACTGCAATTGGCTCGTAGACTGCACATGATGGATGGACATCCTGTCAATCTCTTACTGAAGAAGTCACTAGGACATGTCAATTATTCTGCAGTACATCAAGTGTCTCCCCGTTACAAAAACCCTACAATACACTACCAAACCAAAAGCAGTTTACTCACAATTAATTTACTCAGGTTCAAACCCTGGTCTGTTCAGTTAAACACAACCGTGATGTACTCACAGGAATTGAAAAAAGACTATCATGAAAATCTTCTATGAATCTATTTAATACCTAGTCCACCTAGTGGAAGTGTGTTTAACGGTTCCGCCTGTCACTGTCATATTGACAAACTAATAGATTATTTGCAGGAAAAAAAATAAAGGTTTTCGGACCTTTTTAATCTAATTGTATTATTTTCCACTACACCCCCAGTGGTCTCTCGTGGTCTCACTAATGTGCCACGGCACAGCGGTTGGGAATCACTGCTTCAACATATGCTAGTTTGCAATGCACATCTATTGTGAAAGGGTGGCGTGGGCTGTTGCAAGCACAGTTACATAAGTTAGAGCTCATAGAAGTTTGTTTTGAAGAAGAGTGTGAACCTCTTCGCCCATCACCTCCACACTCTGTTCTGTTCCACAGGAGCCAGGACTGCCCACAGCCTACGCCCTCGCACTGCAGATACCCTGGAGTCTCCGTGGAGGGAAAAGGTGTGCCTTTGAAGAGAAGAAAATCCTTTTCTGTTGCAGGAAACTCTCCTGACGGTGACTATCTGTTCTGCATTATCATGATTGTCTGTGCCACTTCCGTTGTGAGCTCATTCTGTCTCTAGATGGTGCTGTTTTCAGTTTCCAAAGAGAGGAGCTGTGTTCAGAAATGAAGCTGGATTACTGAGGATTAGATGGATGAATCATTTCTTTGGCACTGAAGTTCATTCCTATCAATGCTCTCAGTTAAACAATTACCGAATACAACGTTGTACTTTAAAGTGGTCCACATGCATTGCAGACTCCTTATGGGTCACCACCCTTGTTAAAGAATGCACGTGTCTGTCCCTGCTGCACAGTATTCTTAATAAACAGATAAAGATTCTCTTCTTAGCATAAGACTGTAGCATAAGTGGTCTCCAGTAATGATGAGGCTCAGTATACATGTACAATACCTAATGGTTACATTCATTATATCATTACATAAAGTATGTTTTTCAAGTTCAGAGTTGTAAACAGTCCACAGAGATTTTGATCAGAACATGCAGTAGCTGAAACTTTTTCATCTTGAGCAGTGCTGGTTGTAAATGCTGTGGAAAAAACTAACAAAAGTTCTGTCTGAATCACATCATTGTCTGTTCCCCACTGTCTGTATTGTCTGTACACCTTCTACAGCTGCAGATGTGATTGGCATTTTGCAACGAATTCAGAAAGAAAAATACACACAGAGTGAGTGGCTCGGACCATTTTGCAGCTTCGTTTCTGTGTTACATCAGGCTTCAACAATAGAGTGACAGAAGTAGGACAAACACAGAGGAAGAGAGGCTCAAGGGTTAGGGTCAAGGATGACGTTTCTTAACCTACATCTGCAGCTACTCTAACTCAGTGCAGTTAGATCAGGGGTTGAATCTGAGTCAGGTCCTCAACAAGACACATTTATATCAGAATAACTGCAAAACAAAACAAAAACAACTAGAGATAAAACTTTCAATAAAACGTGTTTAACGCCTCTATACATTCTGATTGCAAATAAGTGCAGAGCTTTAAACCAATAAGGCATTTAACTTGATATCACTGTCTCCTGCTTCAGGTGTTTTATTTCCTGACCTGACCTGAGCTGACAGAGGTCAGCATCACCTGATGGGGCGAGACTCTACAGCTGGTCAGAGACGACTGCACTCTGGGACCAAAGGTAAGAAAGGGGAGATGTGTCTCATTCAGCAGGTTTATTTTATCACCTACAGCAGTGGTTCTCAATTATTTTCTGTCATGCCCCCCTCAAGGACAGAAATGTCACCCCCCCCCCCATGTATATTTATATCGGTACAAACCACTGTATGAGTTGCTGCCACCTAGTGACTGGAGACTTTTGTTATCAGTCAAGCATTACAGCAGTGGTACACACAGTGTGTCCAGCGTGCCATATTCTATTGGAAGCCCCTCACACACCCCTGGCACTTCACCCCCCCCCCCCCCCACTCTTTGAGAAGTACTGACCTACAGTAATGTTGTGTCCTCCACCCTACAGTATCAAGACTGTTTGTTCCTGTCGTTGTTTTCCCTCCTTGATCCTAACAATCAGCAGAACATGTAGTTTTTCTTTTCTATTTTTATTTCCAGTATGTGCTTACATAAAGCAAAGTACTGGCTAAGATATCATAGCCAGTATTTGGGACAGAGTGTGAAACAAAGACCAAAACAGTATTTGATGTGGGCGTTGTCTGGAGGCGTGAGCGCTGCCCTCGTCATGCAAATGATGGATTTATATGTTTTTGGTTTTTTGATAGGCTGAATAAATGCACACTCTCTTCACAATAAGTAGAAAAACACCAGTTATATGAATTCTAATTGCTCAGTCCCAATCATGGCTGCTGTGTTTTTTAGCTCCTTATTCCACCTACAAAGACGTACAATGCCTGCTCTTTCACCCAGTGTTCACCCTCAATCATCCCACTCAAGCCACACATGTGGCATGAGTAGCTGTAACAGCTAGTATTGAAGGTACAAGCTGCCCTGTCTCCTCCTTTCAAGATGAGAGACCTGCTGTAAACAGAACACGAGCAGCATGTGGCAAAGAGTGACCTGTTATAATTCACCTTATAAATAAAGATTTCTGTGTCCAATCAGCAACAAGGAGTTTTCAAACAGACCAACAGGCCTTAAACTATACTAAAAGTATACTCCAGGGTGTAATACATAAAGCCGAACAATGGTGTGAAAAAATAATTTCTTCCAAAGTACTCTTTAAATTACATTTTGACACCTTGTGACAGAGAGCAGCAGAGTCTGGCTGTGTTTCCTCTTCAATTCTTGTCTTTTCTTTGAGCGCTTCTTGAACCCAGTTTTGTCCTTATGTGCTGTTTGGCAAAGAGAGAATGGCAGGACCAGGTCTGAGCTGGTTATAAAATGTGTGAATAAAATACTGTACAGCTGCAGAGCACTTCAGAAATCAGAAACACATTAGTCAATTTCTTGGGCAACATGTTATGACCAGTGTAGAACTTGTGTCTGCAGGCTGAAGGTTTCTTGGGCAACATGTTATGACCTGTGTAGAACTTGTGTAGAACTTGTGTCTGCAGGCTGAAGGTTGGCTCCTTAATGTGCTGAAAAAGGATGTTAATAGATGTGATACACAAAAGTTGAACAAATTCTGACTAGCTTCACAGTTCAGACTCAGCAGGCCTCTTCAGCTGCTGATAAACACCGCTTTTGTCAACTGTACACATTCAGTGCTATAACTACTCGACATCCTGGGTGGCTGTCAACTTTTTGGGGATCAATATTGACTGTAAGAAGAAAAAAGTGAAAATAACAGGCAGTAAATTTCAGGCAGATTGATTTCCTATCTAAGCCACACGCAGCAGAGCTCAGTTAAAGCCAGTGCCTTTTTCCACTTTTTGACTTTGACTTTTTGATGGACAGATCATTGTACAGTGGCCTTTTTTTGGGCCAATACCACGAACATGAGGGTTTTACAGGAATCCCACGACAGGTGACGGACAGTACCCACTGAACTGCTGTCACTCAATAAGATATGATGGTGAATCATCTTGGATTGATGGGCCAGGTGGTGTAAATATCCTCAACATCAGAGAGTGAGAGGTGTAGGCAGGTGGCACAGTGACTCACACGGTTGTTTCTGCAGTGTAAAACGTCTACCGGGACTTCCCAGAACAGGTTAGCAGGGAAAAACAACACAGAGCAGGAAAGACATACATGGTGTTACCCGTGGATGACATATTTGGTCAAGCAAGAGGGATGGAAACAGTACGTTCAAATGTGATTTTCAAATGTTGAAGTCAGCATTTATTCCTCTCCTTGTGTAAAAGCTGCGATGGTCAATTCAAATGTGATTTTTCTCCTTGTGTAAAAGCTGCGATGGTCATTGTTAATGTGTGTTTGTCTCTGTGTGAAGTGACCCATTTTCTTCAATATCCTCTTGGTTTTTTTTAAGGTCAGGCTGCTGGACTCTGTCAAAGATAGTCTGTAATGACTTCAGAATAGGTTTGTGTATCAGCAGGATTTCTGTGACATAAAACAGGTGGACACAGGGAGCTGCACATGGAAATGCAGGGCAAGAGCGCAGGAGTTCACTGACTGTAGAAAGGAAACAAAGTGGCAGGGAAGTATGGGGAAAAGCCTGGTTGGATATAAGATTCCATAGACACAGATGGGCAAGATTTAGTAATCACAGAGGAAGGAAACGGAAGAGTGAAGCGCTGAGGAGTCAGACACAGGGGAAAAACAATGGCTGAAACTAATGAAAAGAAAGGAAAGAAACTAAACTCTCAACACAAACGATGTGACAGGGTTAGAGCCTGAGGCATCGAGGTACGAGTTTAAAACAAATACTCAAACATTTAGGGAAATGACACTAAACGTTGTGTGCGGCTCAGGTCATTATTAATCTTTGTCACTTGGAAGAGAGAGAGAACCAGTTTAATTCCATTTGAGCCCAAACAGGCTGATTCTCTGCTCCGTCTGCCAGTAGACAGGATTAACACTGCTATCACTTGAGACACAGACAAAATGGGATTTTTGGATTTCTGATGGCTTTCCTGGCTAAGGAGAAAATGTGTCGTGTTATGTTGTGCTTTGCCATGTTATGCAATGTTACACTACGCAATGTCACGCTCTCCCATGTTATGCTATGCAATGTTATGCTATGCCATGTCACGCTACGCAGTGTTATGTACTGAGTAATCACAGGGTGGCTGTGGTTTAATCCTGGGTTTACATGGTTCTAACAGATAAATGTAAATATAAAAAAAATGTTTATTGTTACAACGAAGCAATGGATGGCAGCATGGAGATAAATGTGTGTAAATCTTCCAGATGGTTGTTTGTGGAATGTGTCAAGAGTTGATTTTAAGGCAGCCATTGTCTTCAACAATATTAATCAGTCAACAGTTCACTGAAATCCATTCAACCATTGTGTCACTCAGCTTGTCAGCTGTAGACAGTGAGGCTGCTCTGATGGTTGCTCTGATGGTTGCTCTGATGGTTGCTCTGATGGTTGCTCTGATGCATGCTGGGCGTCTGACCTAAAGTTGAAGCCTCCACAAAGTAGAGCTGATACTTTGAGCTTGGGGTGCCTTGAAACTAAAACTCTTTTCCACAGTGGATGTGAATGAAAGCATGTTAATGGGTGGAACAGTTCACAGGCTGAGTACAGACTACAGAGCAGTGTTCATGTCGGATCGTTTCTTTACTCAGACTTCAGGACGTGATACCACAGCTACATATAAAAGATGCTACTGCAAAAGGAAGGGAGTTGTGGTTTCACTGCAGTGAAATTCAAATTCAAAGGTTCGCCTTCTGTATTTTAATGCATTGCAAAATTCATTGTCAAGGACAAGTTCTGAAAGCACACAGGTCTGTAATGTCAGTGCGGGTCGTCTCCCTGCAGCCTGAAATGTGCAGAAATGCGAGCAGAGGAACTGCGGTCAGAATCATGAGTTCCTGCTCAGTCACTGCTTCTGTTCTCTGTTCTGGTTGTGATTTCCAGTAAAGGGTGGATGTCATAACGTCTGCAGCATCACTCGGTCTGCAGGTTAGCTGCTTTTTTTCTGCAGAGCTTTTATGTTTTTTTTTTTTTGTTTTTTTTTTTGCCTCTTGCTCTCTTTCTTACACACATCTAAGACCAGAGTGTGGGAGTGCGAGGGATGACTCATCCGCCGCACACCTCATCACTGACTGACCATATTTGGGCTTCCCGGAAATTTTTTCTTCCCTCTCGTTCTGTCTGAGCTGGTCTAGTGGTGAGGAGCAGACAATGCAGGAACAGAATAATGAGCTCTTCTGCGTCCTCTTCCCTCTTTTTTTGGAGGGGACAGGGGGGCAACCCCCCCCCCAATTCAAACACAGAATTATTAACAAAATCCTCCAAATATTTGATCTTGTTTTTGTCACAAGGTCCCCGTCTGTTATTTGTGATTTGTTATTCAGGAGGCCTTTTGAGATTTTCTTTTGTAACCTGTTAATTATATTTTCCCCTCCGTTGGAAATGAATCGCTTTCAGTGCATAAACACGAGCAAGAAAACACGCGCTCTCCAACACAGACAGCTGTATTCACAGGACCTGACAACTCTATCTATCATTTACTTTTCCTTTTGCTTCAACCATGACTGATGGATAGATCGCATGTACAATATTCCATGCTTTTTATTCCAAAAAAATTACAAATCAGTTGAAAAGGAAGGGTCTTCTCCAAACTGGGTAGTGGGGGATTTATTTGCAGCTGCTTGACAATCTCTCCAAGATACTTGTGGAGTTGGGTAAATAGTCCATAATTTCAGGTTTGACGTCAGTAGAAATGTTTCAGTTATCTCTGGTGGTGTAGAGTCCGACCTGTAGCTGTCTTCAGTCATAGAAGTCATGACCCAATGATGTCGAAGTGTTAAAGTGGACGATAAGGCGCGGGTTATAAGTTGAAGCTCAAATTGTTGAAGATTTTTTTTATTAACTGGAACTCAGGGAAAAATAAACTCAACATAAGCATTGAGTCACACATAAGTCCTCGTCAGGTGAAGTTCACAGGGAAAAAACTAGAAGTTTGTGATTCTGAACTTGGGTGAGGTGTTCAAGTCCAAGCACCAAGTCACAAACACAACAACAGAAACCATTGATTACTGTGAATAGTTAGAACAGGCAATTATTATTTATTTTGCTCAGACGTGATCATCAGTCCTGGCCCTTTTATAAATATTCATGTGTCATAAATAAACAGGGAAAGTTCTGGACCACAGTGAGAGAACTCCGAACTTGATATATTCTGAGATTTACG